GTAAGGCCTCTCATGGGGAGTCAAAAAAGTCTGGTGAATCACCAAGTACCTCCCCTCTGCTTTACAACTGAGCAAGGCATTCCAATATACAGAATGGACTCCAAAAATCCAGTTCATTTACTAGGGATAAATTCTAGTCCCACTGCCAGGGGCCCCACAATCTGACCAAGTCACACAATTTTCACCTACATTCAGAGGGCCTAGTTTGGTCCAATGTAAGCTCCTGGGTTGTCATTCTGAGTCTGCGAGCTCTCAATGTTTTGCCCAGATCATAACCCCCAGAGATACCTCCAAAGACGAGCATGCCAGAATGCAAAAGCAAGGTTTATTTCTAGATATCCAAAAGCAATACAAGCCTAGGCAGGGATTTCATCCAATACATCCAACGCAGTGGAGGCTGGAGGAAGTGCCCACCTATCTGCAAGCTCAGCTTTGAAAGAGAAAAATCACAAGGTTACATAATTTAGGGGTGCTAGTACGGGTACAATTCGGATTGCCTCGCTTCTAGGGACTTCCAGAAATTACTTCTAAGGGAGTGGTTGCCTGTGACCATTTCTCATTGTCTGCCCTCAGGTGGGGGCATTTCTAAGGTCAGTTGCCCTGGAAACCAGGGAAAGGACATTCCATAGTCCGGCAGGCATTACCTCGTGACTGTCTTGTGACTCTGTACCTTTACACTTCTGTTTTCTGGAATCTGAACTGACTGGTTTTAGTAATTAATGGCCTATTCCCAAAAGGACAAATCTTAGGCCTTAATTTTAGGGTCAAAGCATTTTGGTATCATTTCAAAGATAGCTCATTTTGGTCTCACATTTCCCCCTTCTCATGTGACTAATGGAACCCAATCATGGGTTTGGACAGTTAGCTCATAAGAATCCCTCTCTGATAATGGCCATGTATAGTTAGCCATCTTGTCTCTATGCCAGGGAGTTTCATTTTGACTCAGCATTTCAGCCTTTTCTGAACAGGGAATATGGGTGACATATTCTCTTCTGAAACTGCTTCAAGTTGGCATTGGGGCACCATTGTCAGGGCCCCCCAAAAGGCTGAAAAGCTAGTCAAAGATTGGGCAAGGGGCCATTCATCAGAAGCATGTAGCTGCCTGACCCCATAGGGACAGGGAAAAACCATGCTAGCTGGGCTGTTCCACAGTAGCTTTTAGCAAGTCCAGAGCTCACAGTCGTCTGAAGCAGTGGAGTCAGTGACCGAAAATTGGAAGTGCCAGCCAAGTGGAAATCTGTTGAGACAAACTTAAACTAGGAACAGAAATTAAAATTTATGAACTTATTTGGAACCCTTAGGTCCATACCCTTAGTAATGGGAAAAGCAGTAGTCCCAAGACCAGGAGAGATGAAAAATACCATCTTTAGGAACACTTATCTGGGGTCCTATCTGTGAAGTGGGTCTAGGTTTTTATGACTCTTTTGATCCTTTGAGGCCTACTTA